ACTTTGAGGATGTTACGGAGGCCGGTGGGCGGGTGGATTTGAGACCAATTGAAAGGAGGAAGACGCTTCGCTGCGAAGCTGTTTATTACCAAACACCAACTGAACAGTTACAAGCTATTGGACAGGGAAGTAAACGTCTCATATGCGCATATTGTTAAAAAACTGAGCATGCTCACGCGTCTTCTTGGAGTTTCATGGGTATTTACTGACTATTACACAATCGTAAACGAACGTTGCAAAGCAGTTCCACAAGCTCCGTAGGAACCCTTGCCTTCCATTAGAGGCGGGGTGGTTTTCGACGCGACCACAGACTACTCGCATGCCTGATCATCCATGTGGATGTGATTATTTCACAGACCATCATTATTTTCAAAAGAAGTATAAGCCTTGTGAACGACGCGTGGCTGAACTCTCTCATAGTCGAACGTGAAAAACAGAACTGATTTTAGAGACTGTGTTACCAGCGCTCACTGCTTCGCGTGTGGTATATTTTTTTACAAAATGAATCCACCAACCTGTCTGGTATGTGAGCGTGCTTAATTTCGTGATTTGTTCGGGAAACTTGCACCGAGTTAAAATTAGGCTTTTCTTCGGTGGCTTATATTTCGTCCCCAATTCCTCCTGTGAAGCCCGCTATTTTCGCTGCTCATGTGTCCTGAGAGACGAGAGGAAAACGGTTTTTGCCTCGGGCTATCGCGTTAGTCTGCATTCACAGTGGTAGCTCAATTATTCATGGTTGTCTGGACGCACGAACTACTCAGAAATCCGAGATTTTGTTAGTATAGCAAATGCTGTTTTGGTCCCTCACTTTTCCTAATTTTCTCCACCCCCGTTCAACTCAGAACATGCAATTTCCAAATCAGTATTCACTGAATTCATGACTGATGTTGATTCCGTACACACGGAACCTTGAAATCATACGTTTGTGTTGAAGGAGCACGAAACTCTCTTACGGCCACTTCAGCGGTCCAGTCGATAATTACCCCTCACTTGCATTTAACATGCGCAGTATTCACGGATCCGAACAGTGATGATTCAGGGTCAAAACTGCAGTCTTCCTGTTCAGGAATAGCGTTCGTTGGTGATTTAGGTTCGCAATACAAGCAATACATCTACTTACTGAATTCTTATTGGCGCTGCTGGGTGAGGAAGCGACGTTTAGTCACAGACATGCTGGAGCAACTAACGGATGAATTACAACAAAAATTGATTGGCCCTAGATTTTTGTGAGCGATTCCTTGGCGAATTCCTCTGGAAAACTTTCTACCCCCTCACGAAGCGGAAGATCCCTAGATCCGTAAATAGCTAGGTAATGAGTGACCCCCCGTACATAAAACAGGTTCTCCTTATCGTATTCTGATGCTCCAATTCCCTCAGTTTCGTAGCCTCTTGGTTGATGGTATTCTACGAAGCAGAGTCAAGTCAGCAGAATGATTGAGAGATTGATGTTCAATGATGCTAAAGATTGTGATCCAGCTGGTTTTATTTGCTATTTGCACGGTGTGTGGAAGGTAAATTCATTCTAGGGAAGGTCTCAATGGCGGATTTGTATGTGTATACATTTCTGTACACATAATTCTGTCCGACCAGGCGGAAGAATGACGATATGTTGCTACGCCAGGATAGAAGACCACCCATTTCAGTTTTCCCGTACGGCACCTTGCTAGTGAACTGATTGTTTCTCATCCGAAACGCTGGTTTTCAGATTATGCCATACATCCATACAAACATAAACATAGTGAAGTTGCACATCTTGAAACTGCTTCTTACACTTTGCTCGGATTGGCTTTGTTAGCGTCTCCGTACATAGCATTCATTGAACAGACAGTTTGAATGATGTGTTCCAACTTTGAGAATTCGAACCGGAATAGAAAAAAGGAAATCAAAATATCCTAGTTTGGGGGAATTTCAGAGGGGGGGGGGGAATTTCCAGGGGGGGGGGGAGTATGAATTCAGCTGACTGTTTTCAGTAGTCGTCGAACTCTTTTTGTCAAAGCGAACTGTAAGTTGTGAACTATTATCAGCATTATCGAGCAGAACTGTCCCATGTTTGTAAAATTCTCCGAAAGCAGGCACGTTACTGACGAAATTACAAATTTATGTTGTGAACTCGCTTCACTTGTTCAAGTTGTGTCTTATCCTTACGGAGAATGTGTGAGTGAGTCTCACTCAGCAGTTTAGTGGGTGTTTGGCTGCGTTTACTAGTTCTTTTTTATTGCCTTACACGTGTTGTGATGTGACAATTTAATTGCGTCCAGTTTGTGCTGGTAGTAGTGACCTCGCCTTGCGTGACAGATGTTTGAGTTCTAAATCCCAGCACGGCCAAACATGCGTACTACTGATGGGCTCTAATAGGTTTTACTCTCCATGAATCTCATGAGAAGCATCAGATTCCATTTTTCGATGTGATTCAGTTTTTTTTTACTTGGAAACGTCTGTATCGATCCATAACCATCTCGAAAGTTTAGTCTTTGCGTAATTTGTTTCTGAGCACTTGACTTAGTTCTCATTGTCCTTTCAGGATCACACAAACCTACTCACTTTCGTCCGCTCCGATGGGTTGTCCCGGCAGCCAAACCCGATTCCGTCCAAGCTTCTTCCCATTTCATTTGCCAATGCAAGTATTCGTCGACACCCCCGCTATGTGACAGCACACACAACCAGCTTCATCAAGAAGTAGCAGACCGTCAGACACATTGTTCATGTTCCCATGCCGGCAACGCACCTCAGTACATTCTGCCCGATGGGCAACGCACTTTTTGTGATCGCTGTGGGAATGTCACATCCAATGTGCCATCCTGATGCCTTATCATTACCATACGTCTTATTGAAACCTGGTTTTCCAGGTACAAAACAAAAATCGCTTGTCTTAGTCCCCAGTCTTTTCGTTCTCTGCATATTCAGGTCATAGTTTCATGCTATATTCGTTCTTCAACCTATTCACATGTCAATGACAGTACAGTCGTAGAAACTTCACTCTGTTAAGGAAACCCTCATTAGATCCTCTATTCCGCATCCTTCCTCAAGAGGAGTCATCACTGTAAATGAACGGGTCTATGACTTGTTTTTTGGGTTATTGAGTTGTCGATTACGGACTAGATAGCTATTGGTTTAATCGTTCTCGTCGACACTACGATATCTCTAAGTATCATAGTGTCAAATCAGTCCTGAAGCTGTCACTTCCGGTTAGCTCCAATTAAGAGTTATTGAAATCTGGATGGAAGTCTCACTGGTGCTGAGCCGGATGGTTTTTATCAAAGTTGGGTAGTGAGCCGCAGCTGGCGGGTTCTTGTGAATACTGGATTTATGGTACGAAAGAACATCTGGAGAAGCTATCGATTTCAATGAATAAAACCCGGAGAGTGGTTATATTAGTCAACACAGTGCGAATCAGACTACCAGTGATGAGCATTCACTGGTTGACCAGAAGCCGATAGATCGGAGGGTTTTGTGCTATAAGGTGTGTCTGGTCTAGGTTCACCGGAATTATGGAGGCTATATTTAGTGGTGCAGTCCCTGAATTGGAGCTAGGGAATCGACGGAACGAGTTCCACCGACGTCGGTCTAGGTGCTGACAGATATGGGCCTTTGTGATGGATTGTTATTTTTTAGAACAGCGAAAAAACTTTATGCTGGCTGTAAAGGAAAACACTTGGTCTTTTGGACCTGACTTCTTACGATGGGGTGTTCAAATGAAACATAGGATTACTGGAAACTTGGGGACTGCTGCAATTTGATGATCTCCAAGAATGGTGAAGCCGGTAGAGGGCTGTCGATGAGCTTTCAACAAACCTACGAATTGTCTTCCGTCGAGTAAACTTGGTTATTCATTACATGCCCCACCGTTTCATTCACGTTTTTAGTCGACGCGATTTCTGACCTTGCAAATGTCTCTTTACCCCAAGTCCAGGGACTCTCCTTAGTTTCTGTGTTTTGGATGTTGGCTCAGAGCCACTGTGTCGATGGGTCACTCGTCGATTGACTTGAGGCGGTGTGTTGAATTCCCATTTATGGTGTATGAGCAGTAGCTCTTTTATTCTAACCTCCCGATGCATATGGGTTTCAGTCTATCAAGAAACTCTGTAGGGCTTTCGATGATCGGTTTATTTTCCCAGCAGTCTTCCTGGGTTATGCGTCTCTGTATGGCAGTCCTTGGCTCACCCCAGAACCGTTGCACTTGTTACATTGTATTCCCTTAAGATTGCTCTCCATTGCAAAACTCGTTCACAGGCCATGTTTAGCCTTGGGACAGTTGAACTACACAGCTGAACATCATTCAATATCCGGATATACCCATAATCGGTGTATTCTAGAAGTAGGTTATAGCAATCGCCACATTTACTCTCAACACTTTTTAACATAAACCAAGAATGGCTACGATAGCCCTTTGTGTGTCCTTATTCAAAACTGTGTCTAATCTAGTGATGATGAAGTAATCAACTGAACAGATTTGACTGTCCCAAGATTTTACGACTTTCCAGGATTTCACGAGTTAGCGGACTTACTAAAAGTAAGCAAAAGACGTGGCTTAGGGAGTGTTGTTTAAAAACAATTGGTGCTTGTTTTCATAATTGTATGAGTTAATTATACGTTACAGAAATGCAGGACTGTGCGCACCTCACTTAATCTCACTACATAATTTTTATTGTACTTTGTTATTTTTCATGTCCTCTATGTTTGTCAAGAATTGTTGATCACGAAAGTTTGTGTTCATGCATCTCCGTCCTCTAATTGCCTTTTCCTAGTTGAGTCTTGATTAGTTCGCAACAACAAGTCGGAGGTTTGGGAATAAATTTTTGCTGTGACCATCAGGCTTCTGATTGGTTTGTTGTTTCTGGGGAATGAAGTTTTCTAACTAATCCCCTGTTTAGTGAATTTTGATCTATCGTGGATTTGGACACTGCTTCAGTCGGGTGACGTGTTGGGAACCCAGAGCATGGAAGTCGGTGTGTCCCATAAAATGGGACACAATGAATACATGGCATCTCCTCCATTCTACCCTGCAATCATGGTCTATTTATCTTACCGGTTACTCAGGTTAGTCAGTTGATTGGTGATCCTTTGACCAGTTCGCACACTTCTAATGGCCAGCGGTCGTCAAATTACGACTTCGCGATGAACGAACTTTCAATATTCGTCAGTGTGGACGTAGGACAGGTGACATACGGGAGAACCGGCCGCCGTTTTCAAGACAAAAATCACGACCTTACAGATCTGTATTTCACAACCACCAACGCACTACTACGCTCCACAATAACGCACTGATGATGTCACCTCGATTGGTGATTAAACGTTTGCAATCAAATTGCCCAGCTTAGCGAACAAGCCAACGACCACATTACCTTGTTACTGATCATTTATCCAGTATAATTAATATTGTGAACCATGCTTTCCATGTGTTTTGCGAGACTGGCCGTTCGGAAGTGAACCTATTCTCCTACTTTAGCAAACAGTTTGATCTGTCAGGTGCCCATGGGTGAATCGTCTTTATGCTTCCCTTCGCTTGAGTAATTTCATGTCTACTGGTTTCTGGGATAATTTGGGCTGAGTGTACGAGTGAATGGATCTACGCATTGCTCTTGTTTGTGCGAAAAGACCTTGTCGAATCAGGTCTCCAAACCCACCGAGTAAATGAGAGAGGTGAAATGGATTCGGACAGTAATTTGTCCATTGGCCAACAGAGAAGCGTCGCAACACCCTTAATTTGTCCATTGGCCAACAGAGAAGCGTTGCAATACCTATCAACCAGTATCGCTCTCAAAATACGTGATACCTTTTTCTCCTTGGTAAGGTCACTCTCCCCTCAGGATTGAACCTGTTGAACTCCAATAAAACACTTTTAGTGACCGAGCTTACATTCACTACTGAGGAGAATGCATTCTGTTGGGTCACCTGAATTTAGCCAGCAGAGTGAAGCTTTGGTGATACCGACCAACTGCGGCTTCATGCGGTCAGTACTGGCAACAAAAAAGAGCAGAAAGTAACGGATGACGTCAAGCGGAAAACACTGAACGATAGAGGATATTAGATGGATAATTTCTGACTTTTTTCATAATACGTCAGCAGAGCACTTGTTAATATTGGACCATCTTGATTGTTCACTGTGTCCTAGAGATTTCTTTTCGAAGTAATTTTAAGGCTTCATGTGCTGGAAGTCGAACTAACCTGGAGGCTCATTCATAAGAAGTCAACACTAGGCTGTCAAACTAGACTAGTCCGCTGCTGAGGCCACGGAATTTACACACGGTTCATGATATAAACATACTATTCATGTGTAAACTCATAAGGTCACACGCCCATGATTGAGCTAGTTTGGTGTCCGAAAAGGCTGATCTGTGCATCAAGTTTGGGGCCATCTTAAATGTAGGAGCGCCTTAGTGTGCAACCGTAAAGCTACGGGCATGCAAACTACTGAGCAACCACAGCAAGTAAGACGATTCCGGTCATTTTGACAAATACACTCATGTCAATATGGTTTTCACTGGAGACTCAACTGAACCTCTCGTTTATGGTATTTAACTGAATTTGCTGCACAAATACCGTTTCAGTTACTACGATATTCGAGATATCGGAGTATATTTCCCTGAAAGAAACCACTCACAAGTTTACTAGAAACCCTTTGACAGCCCACCACCGGTTTAGCCCTTCTTGGAGCTCCTTAGTTAGACGCAAACTAATGGGCAACAACAGCAAATAAGAAAATTCTGATCATTTATGCACAGCTGGCAGTTTGTTGTGCGACGTCTCCTAGGTTAATATAATTTCCGACGTCGTTATTAGCCATAAAAAGGTGAAAACCACCTCAGCGAAGCCGTCACCACTGGAGAAGGCTTTCTTGTTTGCCTCCGATCGATACCAATCTGATCTCGGCTTCTGAGTCATCCGCCTGACTGAATGTGGAAATTAATCAATGGGTTGAAACGAAACAATCGGCAGACTGCTTGTTTAATCCATGATTGCCAGCTAGTCGTCAAGAGGAACCATCTATGGTCAAAACGCTGGTCCATTTCACCTGACATTTTGAAGTGGCACTTTAGCTTGTTGCAATCGAAATTGACCTCATCTACCAGTGTAGTGGCTTATACTACTACTGAGGTATGTAAGTAGCCTGTGACTGATGTGAAGCTCCGCCTCGCGTTTAACGGAAGGTGAAGTACGAAACTTGCGAACCTGCTTCGTAATGTTCGTTTGCAGCTGTGTAATAGTCAATGAAAAGTTCAAGAAGACGCGTAAGAATGTTCAGTCTTTGAAAACATTGTGCATATGAGACATTTACTTTCCTGTCCAATAGCTTGTACCTGCTTAGTTGTGTCTGCCGGTAAGAGACTTCACAAGGGAGGGTTTTCTCTTTTCACTAGTCTTAGCTGGTGCACTCTTTCAACCGCAGACCTTAGCAGATTAGCATTAAATTTTGTAGGCGATGGAATGAGAACTCACTGCACAGAAAGCAGTAGTAAACCATAGTCGGTAGCAATGAATTACCGCCTTAGTGTCCGCCACCGGTGATACGGTTTCACTGTGTTGTGCTATTCCCCCACAGTTTTTCTGCAGCATTTTCGAAGCCTGTTACTTGCGGTCCAAGCACTCGTGAACTATAATAAAAGCCATTTCGTATTCAGGCGTCAGTTCTCCGTATAAAACATCTTTTGTTGTTTTCTTGAAAGACTTTTGCCTACAGTGGGTATCGTGCAGTAGAACCATTTAGTTCCGCTATAGACATCCAGTGAAGGTTTTCACAACACGATGCAGGTAGTCTTTGGGAGGAATTCATACATATTTTTTCTGGCGGAATTTTGTGCAGTGAAGGTAACCTGAAATAGTGTCGGGTTCATGTTCGCGGAACATAAATACCTTAATGTTCAAGGCAATTCGCCGTTATCAAAGGCAATGACCACCTCAATAATCGATGGCGCCACAGAGGTCGAGAAAACGAACAGATATTTGTTCTACCTTAATGATCCAAGTAGTCAAAAGTTTATTAGCAATGAAATCCATCGTCACTCACCATGCTTTTGTGTTAGCTGGGATAACTCTGCCAGATGTATGTAG